TGGGCGAGTACAAGTATTTGCCCAAATACTCAGTATCGGCACCGATACTAATATCGGTGCATCCCTACATGTGAGTGCTGATTTTCAATTCGATACTTTGAGGCTACACGGCACCATCTGTGTCATTACTGCAAATACCACAATCGATAACTTTATGGTTACAGCGCCGTATGGAGTGCAGGTGATATACAACAACACTGAGGGGGATTTATCACAATTGGAGCAGCTGTGCATGACAACCAATCGACTTCTATATTTCATTTTTTTTATCTCAGCTGGACAAACTGAAAAAAAAAAGCTGGTTGCCGTGGACTACTGCTCCGGATTCTGTCTGCTCCAGTGTTGATAAATCCCCCCCCCCCCCCCCACATGTGTTTTATAACCGTTGCAAGCCAGCAGTTGATGGTGTGGGCGCACTTGAGCTTAGTTTATATTCTGTAAATCACAATTACCTATTAAAGAAGTCCAATTATACAATATTCCGCTGTGTGTGTGTTGAGATATTTCTGTGGAGCGACATTGTTGATTTGCTTACGTTTTGGCACGGGATCCCGCTTTGTAAAACGCTCGCTGTTTTTATTTTCTCCGTGCAAATTTCCTGAGGATTGGGGGGGATCCTCCGACAGATGGCGGTGTGGCTGGTAGAGACATGATGCATGACACGGCGCCAGGCAGCTCCTTTGACGAAACATATGTTTAAACAGATGAGCTGCTTTCCTCATTATAAAGTGCCAAAAGAACATGATTAACAAAATGAGCGCCAATAATAACATGTAATAACGGCGCGCAAGAACCCAGCCGAGCCGGGCCAGAAAGCCATTGAGTGTGCGGCGCTCGCAAGCCGCTCTCGGAGCAGATGGGCTTGTAATGTAATTAGGAATCTTTGTGTTAAATGAGGCATTATTTAAATTGGCTGCTAATTTTCACATCTATTAACCCGCTGAAAAATATAGAGAGCCGCGAGTTCCTTTTTCAAAGTGATTTCTGGTCGTTGAGCAGTAAAGAAATGTTCAATTCTCTAGCCAGCCAGCTGGAAGGAGATGCTGATGGACGACGATGTGTACGCCTCCTATAGGGAAGGAAAGGAACCCTTTTGTAGTGCCTTTCAGTAGTAGACAAGAAATGGGTAATGTCGCCACTCCAGCTGTGGTAAAACTACAAATCTCATTATGTTGCTGCCCTGAGAGTCATGCAGGTGGCTGTCAGAATGTTGCAATGTTTCACGGGGGTTGTAGTTCCACAACAGCTGGAGTGTCTCAGTTGCCTGTGCAAATAGTCTGCTACAGGTAGGCAAACACGGCACTCCAGCTGTTCTGGAACTACAAGTCCCATGAGGCATTGCAGGACTCTGACAGGCACAGGCATGACTCGCAGATGTATTATAAGATTTATAGTTCCTCCACAGCTGGCGTGCCGACGTTGCCCGTTTCTGGTCTACTACCTATGCCAAATAGCATAACTTAATTTTTTACTATATTCATTATTCCGAGGCTGTCTAACCCTGGGCCAGAGACTAAAAGGCAAAGAGGCCGATCAATGTGCTGTGGAGTAAAATACTAATTGCAATCAGACTCGGCATAAAGCCCTCAAAAAGTTGTAAAAATACCCACCTGAGCCTGCCGGAAATGTAGTGTCTTCGGCGCTTACTATGAGATGATCTGAAAGAACATAGTTATCTTTTGTAAACTACTACTCCCTACGATCCCATACATCATGGAGATGAAAAGAGGGAGACTGGTTTGAACTTGTGATATATTAAAAGGTAGTTTTGGGGTTTACGTAATGTTGGAGGTGTCGGCTCCGGGGCTTTACTTGTAGTTTCACATTTTTGGAAAAACACTTGGCTACGTAAGAGTAAAAAATGGCTTCACATGCCTTGGCCTATTTTATGCTGTCCCTTGCCTTGCTGGGTGTGCGACAGTTTTTAGGAAATTGGAGGACTGTCGGGGGCCAATTCTCAATGAAACTTTCCATTGCGTTGCATTAATGTGTGTTATAGGCAGTGTTATGAATGCCAATGCTCCACAATGGAGGAAAAAATCATGCATGGTAGGGATGCACCGATACCAGTATTGATGCCGATACTGGGCATTTTCACAAGCACTTGATCAGCCATAACATTTTGACCACCTGCCTAATATTGAATAGGTCCCCCTTTTCCTGACCCATCGAGGCATGGACTCGACTAGACCTCTGAAGATATGCTGTGGTATCTGGCACCAAGCCATCAATAGCAGATCCTTTAGGTCCTGCAAGTTGCGAGGTGCGGCCTCCATGGATCGAACTAGTTTTTTCCTGCACATCCCACAGATGCTTGATTGGATTCAGATCTAGACCTCATACTTGTTGTTGTGCTCCTCAAACCATTCTCGAACCGTTCTTAAAGTGTGGCAGGGGGCATTATCTTGCTGAAAGAGGCCACTGCCATCAGGGAATACCGTTTTCATGAAGGGGGTTTCCCTGGACAGTTGTTTAGGTGGGTGGTACATGTCAAAGTAACATCCACCTGAATGGCAGGACCCAAGGTTTCCCAGCAGAACATTGCCCAAAGCTTCACACTGCCTCCACTGGCTTGCCTTCTTCCCATAGAGCATCCTGGTGAATCTTCCCCAAGTAAGTGATGCACACCCAGGTATCCACATGATATAAAAGATGTGATTCATCAGAACAGGCCACTTTCTTCCATTGCTCTGTCCAGTTCTGATGCCTGCGTGCCCATTGTAGGAGCTTTTGGTGGTGGACACAGGTCAGCATGGGCACCCTGACTAGTCTGCGGCTACACAGCCCCAAACGCAACAAACTGTGCACTGTGTGTTCAGACACCTTTCTAATGCAACTTGTATTCATTTTTTACCAATTTGAGCTACAGTAACTCTTCTATTGAAATGGACTACATGGGCCAGCTTTTGCTCCCCACATACATCAATGAGCCTTGGCTGCCCATGACCCTGTCTCCGGTTCATCGGTTTTCCTTCCTTGGACCACTTTTGGTAGGTTCTGACCACTGTGGACCGGGAGCATCCCACTAGAGCTGCGGTTTTGGAGTTGCTTTGAACCCAGTCGTCTAGACATCACAATTTGGTACTTGTCCTTTACAATATTGATATACTTTCCAGGAAACGGCCCGGTCTCTTGTGCATTTTCAGGACGGTCACCCCCGCTCTCCCGGGCTTTTGTATTGCATACAATGCTCTTGTGTCGCTTTGTCTGGCCAGTCTGTGGGTGACAATCGGGTCGTGGGGGGGGACACATGAATGCGTCTTTTCTATACTGCAGAGGAGGGAGCCGTGTAACATTCCTGATCCGCTCACAGGAACTCGGCATATTTCTCACTAACATGAGCTCTGACCTTTCTGTGAGATTAATAGGCCCATCTTCAGCTGAAGGAGGTTTTCCATATATTGCTGTATTAGCATATTTCCATAACTGCTGGATCAGCGCTGTGTTAATCTCTTTCCTGTCAGAGCCGGTGGCCATTTAAACGTTGGCTCGCTGTCAACCTCCCCATTATCACATTCTTCCTAAAACCGCCTCACGCCACGCGCATCTGTCTCCAGGCCTGGGTACCAGTAGTAAATTCACTTCATTAAGTTTGTACATTCCTTTTTGTTTCATTGATTCATGTGCATGGGAAGTATAGCCAACAAATGTCTTATTTTAGTCTGGTAGGAGAGTTTTCATGGAATTGGGGTCCTTTGTGAGACGAGAATAATGTACCAAATGCAGTAGCCCAAAACTAGGGATGCATCGGTCCCCTTTTTTCAGTATCGAGTGCCGATACCGGTACTTCCGCTAGCATGGAGCCGGCTTCCCGGGTAATCGAGAAACCGGGCGGCAGATAATGACAGGCTATCTGGCTTCTTGATTGGCCGGTGAAGCCGGCTCCATGCTGTTTGGCCGGGAAGCTGGCTGAGTGCTGTTTGGCTGGCTCGATGCCGATTGGCCGGGAAGCCAGCTCCATGCTGTTTGGCTGGCTCCGTGCCGATTGGCTGGGAAGCTAGCTTCCTGGCCAAACATGGGGCCGGCTTCCTGGGCAATCAAGTATCCAACAGCCTGTCATTACCTGCTGCCCGGTTTCTTGATTGCCCGGGAAGCCGACCCGGATGCCATTTGGCCGGGAAGCCGCCCTCCCGGCCAATAAGGAAGCTGGTTGGTGAGTCATTACCTGCTGCCCAGCTTCCTGATTGGCCAGGAAGCCGGCTCCACGTTCCCTCGCGCCACTGCCGGTCAGAGGCAATCTCCCTCATTTGCAAGCATAATGGTTATTCCTGTCTACTGGTCTGTCGGTTATAGTGTATGGTGTTCATATCACTATAGTGCCTGGCAGAGACCGGGGAAGATGGGGAGACTGCTTTGTTTCACTTTTTGTGAAAGGTGATCATACCCTTGAAGAGGAATTATGCCAATATTAGAATGACTTGATGAATGAGGACAGTCTGGAGGAGTGAGCGTTCCTGGGAAGGCTGCATTTGAATGCAGACCACCCTAGACTATACCCACGTGTGTTTCTAAGCCTCCATGATTGAAAGAACTGAAATCCAGATGGATCAGGGACGGTCAAACTGGGTTGAAAAGTGCTAGATGATGCTTGTCGTCCTCCAGCGAGGAGATAAGGACCAGAAAACAACACGCTTTGTGTGTTTTTTATACATTTACCATTCAGCGTACATGTTAAAAATGCCACAGGACGCATATTGCTGTCTGCTGGGGCTGTAAATGTTAAATCTCGTTGGGCTCACTTTCTTTAATAGAAGTTTCCCAATCCAAGCCTGAGCAGCCAATATGGCCGATAATGAGGATTCAATGTGCAGACTTTAGTTCTGATTTGATAGGCAGCAGCTTCAATAAATGCCCCCATTGTGTGTTTTGGCGTCTTTTAGCTTTGCCATCCATATTTGAATGTGGTGGGGATCAGCTGGCTGCGTGTGGAGCCCCCTGCTGGGCGTATTGGGTGTTGCATGCTCTGGGACTCACTGGATACATTTTTTGTTTCTTTTCAGTTAAATATTTTGGTGGACACGGGAAGCAGTAACTTTGCAGTCGCCGCAGCTCCGAATCCTGATATTTCCAAATATTATAAGTCAGCAAAGTAAGTGACTTATCATTACTTTACCTTTCAATGTTTATTTGATGGTTGTTGTATTTTTATTGCTTTTGTTACCTTAAAGTAATATTAAACCCCTAATTTTTTATATTTTCCAAAAACAAATCCAGATCAAAGAAATATACACTGTCCAGCAAAGTATTTATTTTCCTGTTTCCCCAAGCACTTACAGTCATCATGTTTTAGATCAGCTCCAACTCTCCCGGAACGGCTTTCCTGAACTTCCTGTCCAGTACAAGATCCTTGCTGTTTGGACGGGAAACTGGCTTCCTAGCCAATCGGCATGTAGGGACAGAACAGTCTCCAGCAGCTGTCCATCAACTTGCTTGGAGAAGGGATGGGATAGGGGAGTGTCTTGCCTTGCTGTGTATTTGTGGAGAGACACACAGCTTACTAGCACACACAAGGGTGGCTCCATAGGACCCTGCAAGGGAAAGGGGTCACCCAAAGATGGGATATCGGGGCCAGTGCTCAGGGAACAGCTGATTCTGCAGGAAACTAACACTTTTAAACATCAAGGTGTAGCAACAATTGTGATTTTATTTAGCATTTGAAAAAAAGTTTAAAAACATTTTGACTTTAATATCACTTTAAATCTGAAGTTTAATCATCTTATGTTTTGCCTTCCCTGGTTCCTCCCCCCCGAATCATCAATGTGCTAATGACATGTTTTCTTTGTATTTTTAAATATAAAGATTTAATAATCTAAACGTCTTGCTATTAACCACCTGAAGTCCGGGGTGCTACACCCGCTTCCCGGCCATTTTTCAGTATCCAGCGTTTGCGGTACTTTGACATTCATTCCGTCATACAACGCCGTGCAGAAATTCATTTTATAAACATTTTTGGGGACGGATAGAGCTTTCTTTTGGTGGTATTTAATCACCACGGGAGGGGAGGGGGGGTTATTTCTTACTATATAATGAAAAAAGTAGCAAACATTTTGGGGGGAAACAGTTTTTCCTTCGTTATGAAACATTTATTATTACCCAATTTTTTGGGGCAAATATAAAAGACGGGGTCACGTCGGGTAAATAGACACCAAACATGTCATAGCTTAAAATTCCGTGCCTGCGAAATCGCAAAAAATACTACCATACCCAAAATTGCCCATAGGCGACACTTTAAAAACGTACCTGCTCATCAGTTTAGTGATGACTGTGATTGATGGCCCTAGAATTGTTGCTCTCACTCCGACGTTTGCAGTCATATGTAACATGTGCCGTAATCGTTGTTTTCACAAGTATGTGCACCCAAACCCTGTTTGTGTGTGTGTGTGTGTGTGTACATGGGAATTGCGGGGGGAATTGTGTTGTTTTTTTATGTGTGACTAATTTTTAAACATGATTTTTTTCTTTTAATACATTTTATTGCTGTCACATAGGAGGATAACGAGTCCCCTATGTGATGGCAAAGTAGATGTGACAGGTCCTCTTTATGGAGACATCAGGGGTCTATTAGACCCCTAATGTCGCCTATAAACTTCAAAGCAGCTGAAGAAGCGGAGATAGTGCTTCATCAGCGTCTTCTATGGCTACAGCAGCAGGCGAACTGACAGGCTGGAAGCGGAAGTGATGTAATACACATCCAGTGATCAGAGGGGAGATCAGCCAGTGGGAGTGTTCTGAACTCCCTTCGATATCAGTGTAGAGACGCGCCGTGCCATTCCCGGGCCCACACAGAGGACAACGGAGTCTGGAACAGCCGGCAGCGCAGGGCCACGCACTTCCATGCACCATACAAGCAACTAGGCGGCTCTATTGCTGGCCAATCGCTTGTAGGTAACAGGCGTCGCCAGCTGTAAGCACTGCTCAAGGTGTATGTTTACCGGGACCCGCTAAAAGGAATCTGCCGTCCGGCCCTTTAATTGCAATGGCCGGCCGCCAAGTTGTTAAAATAGATTCCTGAGGAGTTTACAATATGGGATGTTGGCATTCCAGAGCAATATTTCATCTCCTCACCCACCACCTACTCGTATAAACTTTATACTTTTATTTTTCACCTAACGGTATTTTAAAAATGCGATGCGTTTCGAGGTCTCAGAGCCCTCCACCCCCCAATGCCTCCCTTCAGCGAATTCAAAATTGTATTGGCCACCAATTGCAAAACTATATGAATAGCATGAGATCCAGGTCACCAGACTAACAGCCCCGGCTAAATCAATTTGGTGCTCTGTCCTAAGTGTCCTAAAGTGTCCAACTTCGGCACTCCAGCTGTGCTGAAACTACAAATCCGAACATGCCTCTTCCTCTGGGAGTCATTCCTGTGGTTCTCAGTATTGCATTGCCGCATGGGACTTGTAGTTCCGCAACAGCTGGAGTGCCGAGGTGGCGTACCCCTACTCCAGGGACAAGCTAGGATTTGACTCCTGAATCTCTGTCCACTCTGGGGTCCAGTGCCCCACCAATACATCTCTGCCCATTCTGGGGTCCAGCGCTCCACCAATACATCTCTGTCCATTCGGGGGTCCAGCGCTCCACCAATACATCTCTGTCCATTCGGGGGTCCAGCGCTCCACCAATACATCTCTGTCCATTCGGGGGTCCAGCGCTCCACCAATACATCTCTGTCCATTCGGGGGTCCAGCGCTCCACCAATACATCTCTGTCCATTCGGGGGTCCAGCGCTCCACCAATACATCTCTGTCCATTCGGGGGTCCAGCGCTCCACCAATACATCTCTGTCCATTCGGGGGTCCAGCGCTCCACCAATACATCTCTGTCCATTCGGGGGTCCAGCGCTCCACCAATACATCTCTGTCCATTCGGGGGTCCAGCGCTCCACCAATACATCTCTGTCCATTCGGGGGTCCAGCGCTCCACCAATACATCTCTGTCCATTCGGGGGTCCAGCGCTCCACCAATACATCTCTGTCCATTCGGGGGTCCAGCGCTCCACCAATACATCTCTGTCCATTCGGGGGTCCAGCGCTCCACCAATACATCTCTGTCCATTCGGGGGTCCAGCGCTCCACCAATACATCTCTGTCCATTCGGGGGTCCAGCGCTCCACCAATACATCTCTGTCCATTCGGGGGTCCAGCGCTCCACCAATACATCTCTGTCCATTCGGGGGTCCAGCGCTCCACCAATACATCTCTGTCCATTCGGGGGTCCAGCGCTCCACCAATACATCTCTGTCCATTCGGGGGTCCAGCGCTCCACCAATACATCTCTGTCCATTCGGGGGTCCAGCGCTCCACCAATACATCTCTGTCCATTCGGGGGTCCAGCGCTCCACCAATACATCTCTGTCCATTCGGGGGTCCAGCGCTCCACCAATACATCTCTGTCCATTCGGGGGTCCAGCGCTCCACCAATACATCTCTGTCCATTCGGGGGTCCAGCGCTCCACCAATACATCTCTGTCCATTCGGGGGTCCAGCGCTCCACCAATACATCTCTGTCCATTCGGGGGTCCAGCGCTCCACCAATACATCTCTGTCCATTCGGGGGTCCAGCGCTCCACCAATACATCTCTGTCCATTCGGGGGTCCAGCGCTCCACCAATACATCTCTGTCCATTCGGGGGTCCAGCGCTCCACCAATACATCTCTGTCCATTCGGGGGTCCAGCGCTCCACCAATACATCTCTGTCCATTCGGGGGTCCAGCGCTCCACCAATACATCTCTGTCCATTCGGGGGTCCAGCGCTCCACCAATACATCTCTGTCCATTCGGGGGTCCAGCGCTCCACCAATACATCTCTGTCCATTCGGGGGTCCAGCGCTCCACCAATACATCTCTGTCCATTCGGGGGTCCAGCGCTCCACCAATACATCTCTGTCCATTCGGGGGTCCAGCGCTCCACCAATACATCTCTGTCCATTCGGGGGTCCAGCGCTCCACCAATACATCTCTGTCCATTCGGGGGTCCAGCGCTCCACCAATACATCTCTGTCCATTCGGGGGTCCAGCGCTCCACCAATACATCTCTGTCCATTCGGGGGTCCAGCGCTCCACCAATACATCTCTGTCCATTCGGGGGTCCAGCGCTCCACCAATACATCTCTGTCCATTCGGGGGTCCAGCGCTCCACCAATACATCTCTGTCCATTCGGGGGTCCAGCGCTCCACCAATACATCTCTGTCCATTCGGGGGTCCAGCGCTCCACCAATACATCTCTGTCCATTCGGGGGTCCAGCGCTCCACCAATACATCTCTGTCCATTCGGGGGTCCAGCGCTCCACCAATACATCTCTGTCCATTCGGGGGTCCAGCGCTCCACCAATACATCTCTGTCCATTCGGGGGTCCAGCGCTCCACCAATACATCTCTGTCCATTCGGGGGTCCAGCGCTCCACCAATACATCTCTGTCCATTCGGGGGTCCAGCGCTCCACCAATACATCTCTGTCCATTCGGGGGTCCAGCGCTCCACCAATACATCTCTGTCCATTCGGGGGTCCAGCGCTCCACCAATACATCTCTGTCCATTCTGGGGTCCAGCGCTCCACTAATACATCTCTGTCCACTCTGGGGTTCAGCGCTCCACCAATACATCTCTCCCCACTCTGGGGTCCAGCGCTCCACCAATACATCTCTGCCCATTCTGGGGTTCAGCGCTCCACCAATACATCTCTGCCCATTCTGGGGTTCAGCGCTCCACCAATACACACCCTTCAAGTACGTAGAGCAGAGAACTATCTTCTGCCAATCTCTGACCACCTTATGTAACCTTGTAGCTGGTAATGCCCTGCGGCTTTGTGCATGATCCTCTGTTTAGGACAGGTGTAGGCAACCTCTGCACTCCAGCTGTTGTGGAACTACAAGTCCCATGAGGCATTGCAAGTCTTTGATGGCTACAGGCATGACTATCAGAAGCATGTTGGGATTTGTAGTTTCACCACAGCTGGAGTACTGAGGTTGCCTACTTCTGGTATTGCAGGCAGTTTGCAGAGCAGACGGAAGGAAAAGCAAGATCGGAGAGCGGAGTTTCAGGTTACTTATCTGACTGTGAAGCTGCGAATGTGATAAGATCGGAGGATTTTGTCTAAAGCCTAGAGATCTGTTTTGTTTATCTTCCACACACCTCACACCTCATCCTTGTGCACGGCGACGCACGTAATGGGAACTGTGCTGGTTTCTAGGAAGGCAGTGACACTGCTGCTGATCCACATCTGTGCACAATGTTGACGTGCTGAGAGCCTGCACAGTGCAAATTGTCATTGTGTGAGCGGGGTAAGCTGCAGTCTTGCCTAAATTTAAAGGCATAGTCCACCTTTTGGGGGGAAAAAAATACATTTTGATAATTGAAAAATTATTGAACAAAACCCAAAAAACTTGCATTCATTACATTTTGGCATTCAGGCCTACAGAGCATTGCAACCGCGATCAGTGCAGCGCTTTGCATTGGTTACCCCCAGCCCCAGGTCTGTACAGGAGGTGCGTACCTTCCATTATGGCGCTGCTTAGTCCTTCTGCGGTGGTGGGTGGCGGCAGATGGCACTTCTAGAAAGTTAATTCACAGATTTCTTTGGATGGTACGGCTGTGCTGGCATTGTGTTGGGAACAAAAGTAGCCCCCCTCCAGAAGGAAGGACATTGTCCGCACCAATTCAGAGATGATTTGAGGATCTGCAGCTGAGTGATACACAAATAAGATACATTGTTGTTAATAGTTAAGTTACATTTTTAAGATTTAACTCCTGAGTTAAAGTGACATTAAACCCTCAGATTTTGTAACATAAACCAATACTGTAATGTGCGCCTTACTGTAATCCATGGTAGTTTCCCTTCTCTTTGCTGCTCTTCCTTTTAAATCTGTATCTCATCTAATGCTCTGCAGAACTTTGCAGCAGACTGCCTTGTCTCAGGAATGGACACATGGTGTCTGTGTATAGGTTTGTAACCTGAGCCAGCACTACAGGAAGAGGCACTGAGCTGCAAAGGGAAGTTTTCCCCCAGCATGAGAAGACATGAGGATTTAAAAGGAAGAGCAGCAAAGAGAAGGGAAACTACCATGGATTACAGTAAGGCGCACATTACAGTATTGGTTTATGTTAAAAAATCTGAGGGTTTAATGTCACTTTAAGTGTCACTTTCAAGGTAGAAAATTGTATCTGCTGCTGCAAAAACAATTGTTAAAAATTGGCAGCCGTGTTGCCGTTGTCATGTTTTAACTTCCTGCAGGCGCGCTAACAAAATGTAGCGCAGTATGTTCAGCTACATCAACTTCCATTTCCTTTCCAAAAATGAGAGCAAACATTTCTTCAGTAAGACAAAAGATGTGATATCTTCTCTTCCTGCCATGGCGAGCTGCCCGTTATTTCACGCTCAGATGATATTCCATCACACGAAATTATTGTCAGAAGAAATTTGCATGGTACTATAAAATGATAATAGAATGTTTATACAATTAAATGCTGAGCTCCAGGCAGGTATAAAAGGCACACCTTATTACAACTCACAATTCATGAATACATCATTAATCTCTTCCCTATGGCGCAATGGATATATCAGGCAGCTGGGCCTTAACAGGCTGCCGTATATATGAGCCTATGGGGCTCTGCTGATGTGCACAGACAGCAGGGCAGGCTCTCAGTCATGTTTCCGCTTTGGCAGCCATTACATGATCAGGCCTCCACCTCCCAACGTTAAGACCCAGTTAAAGGGCGGCGGGAGGTGGCAAGGTTTTAAAAAGGTAGTTCCGTTATCACCTATCGCCAGATAATCGGCAGACAACTTTATATGAATCCGGTTTGTGTAATTGTATAAAAAAGTAGCGATCGTTTTGACCTGATTGCATATCGCATGGCGGCAATAATTACATATGTATCCATTTTGCAGCTCCTCTACATTCCAGCCCCTTGGAGTGGAGGTAACAGTCCGGTACACTCAGGGAAGTTGGACCGGGGTTCTAGGGAAAGATGTCATCGGCGTCCCAAAAGGAGTGAATGGGACGTTTTTGGTCAACATTGCTTCCATTTTGGAGTCTGAGAGTTTCTTCATGCCACAGATCAACTGGCAAGGGATTCTGGGACTGGCTTACAGCACCTTGGCTAAGGTGAGTCTGATTTATGGTTTGGATATGTTAATGTTTGTCGTCAAACAGCAGTTTTATGTTGGCACATATAAAGACCGCTATGGGATCCAACTTGACGTGGCCAGATTTTGTCTGTGTTTTTAGCGTTTTGTGTGCAAAAATAGAGTTTATGTACTCACCCCAAAATCCTTTGCTCAGCATAACTCCTCCTTCTACCTGCATGCCTCAGTTTTGTAGCAAGTGAACCAAGAGCATGATCATAGACACAGGGCTGGATCCATGTCCCTCAAAGGATTTTATGGTGAGTTAATTTAAGTGCACAGGAATTATTCACCATGGGAACATCCAAAAGCAGCCCAACTAAGAGATGGGCTGCAGCAAGCAGCTGCTAACAGTCCCAATGTGAAAGAGTCTCAAAGGCTGCCTGAAGGACCAATGCACAAAGGTGACACTGGTTGAGGCCAAACCTCCCAGCTGGTAAGAGGAACATAACATGACCAGGAAGAGAAAACATGGTGAGCCTCACCTAATTCCTGAAGACCAAGAAAACGCCAGCAAGATTAGATTAGGCAGGCAACCTCAACTCTCCAGCTATGGTGAAACTACAAGTCCCATGAGGCATTGCAAAAAACTGACAACCACAGGCATGACTTCCAGAAGCAGAGGCATGAGGGCATTTGTTGTATCACCACAGTAGGAGTGCCGAGGTTGCCCACCCCTGGGTTAGACTTTCCCAGCAGAGCTGAAGAAAAGATGTCCATCCTGCAAGAACACAGCAGGCGTGCTGTTTGTAGGAGGGGTTCTCCTGGGCTTGCCCACAATTTGCTTCCCTGTCGGTTTCCAGTGCTTCTGTAGGCAGCAGTATAACATAAAGGTAAATATTTCCTGTGTCCCTCAATGGACAAAAAAGGAAAAAATACAGTCTGTATCCACAGACTGTGTAGCCTACCTAGGGGGATGCTCTCTGCTTGAAAACCCCCTTCGATCTGCTATTTTGGCAGTATTATCCAACAGTGGTGGGCCTGGAGCTTGGCTTGTCCTCGAATAAGGTGAATCTTTTCAATGAGGGCTGAACAGAGCAGTAGGAGGCAAGGAATCGCACAGTAATGACCTACAGAGCTTGTGTTAGAGAAAACTGGACACCTCAGGTAATGGTCAACCGCTATACAGCAATATACACTGCCTGGCCAAAAAAAGTCACACACACTAATATTTCGTTGGACCGCCTATAGCTTTGATTACGGCACACATTCACCATGGCATCATTTCGATAAGCTTATGCAATGTCACAACATTTATTTCCATCCAGAGTTGCATTCATTTTCCACCAAGATCTTGTAGGGATGATGGGACAGTCGGACCACTGGGTAAAGTCTTCTCCAGCCAGTGTTGTCATGCGGGGGGTGCGGCCCGCACCCGGGTGACACCATTGGAGGGGTAGATGAAAGTAGTCACTCGCACTCCATGATATTAAAGTCAATGCTGTTTATTGACTGAGATAACACACATCTCCTTAGCGACGTTCATTTTGGTGTCACCCCCCCTCTGAAAAGTCGGGTCATGGACCGAACGCCGACAGTATCAGGAGAGAGAGGGGATAAGGTATGCCGCCGGGTGACTGTCCCCTCCTCTCTCTGCCAGCGTCCATCACCAAGATGGCCGCCGGCAGGTATCCAAAGAGTGACGCACGTGCGCGATGACGTCATGCGCTGTGCCGAGTCGGCGGGGTGACACCCGGTAACCGGTCCGGGTGCCACCCAGCCTCGGGACGCCCCTGTCTCCATCACACCCTAAAGATTCTCAATGGGGTTAATGTCTGGACTCTGTGTGGTGGCCAAACCATGTGTGACAATAATGTCTCATCCTCCCTGAACCACTCTTTCACAATGTGAGCCTGATGAATCCTGGCATTGTCATCAATGTGCCATCAGGGATGAAAAAAATCCATTGATGGAAAATATTTATCATTCAGGTTGGCAACTAACCTAATTTTTGGGGACATAACCTTGCTGGACCTATGCCTATTATCCAATGGAAGGCTCCGACCTATTTGCTTAGCTAAATCCAGGTTGTGACTTTTTTTTGGTCCAGTCAGTGTGTGTATATAGGCAAACATTCTCTGTCTACCTGTGTTGGACTTGTAGGAGATTAGTCGATACTTATGTTTGTTTTATGACCGAGTCGTTCACTACACACAGTCAACACGACGTCTACACATATGAAGTCATTTTCCTGAACTGCTTATCTGTGTCCCTCAGAATACATCATACACCCTCATAAGAAACTCCCTGCTTCGTCATCCTTGGAGCAAGGGAGTATAAGGTGTGACAGACTGCTACTCGGTGAAAGGAAAGCTCCAATTTTACTAATCCCCTTCCACTTACCAAAATCCCCTTAAAGGAGAACTATGGGGTTAGGGCTTTTCCCCATAGTTCTCCTTAGGGTAACGGGGGGACACAAACTAGCGTCCTCCCGTCACCCTAAGCTCAGTATACCGCGAGCTACAGCTCGCGGTATACTGAGAAGCAGCAGCAGCCGACAATTATGTCTGGATCCGCCCAACTGTGTGAGTGACAGCCGGCTCTGCCTATCTAAAGGCCGCGCCAGCTGTACCCGCCCCCCTCCCCCGTCCGTTCCGCCAGTCAGCGCTGGAGGATCGGATGGGGGAATCCAGCCCCTCCCCTGTCACAGCAAAGAGCCGTGACAGGATAGAGAAGTGAGCGAACGCCGGTAGTTTTCGCTCACTTCCCGATCTACTGAGCCGACCTGTGACAGTCTCATTGTTAGGACTATGAGGATGAGCGAAAAGCACTCACCTCATAGTTCTCCTTTTAAAGCAGATCTAAACCCAGGAACACAATTTAATGTATTGCAGTTACCAGTCCTGTAAATGTGGTGGCTGCATTAGTTTTCTATTTTCAGGCTTTTTTTTTCTTTTATATTAACCTTGTGATCCTGCCAGTAACAGACTTCCTGTCCTAGGGTGATAACCAGGGATGCACAGATACCGGATTTTGTCGGCATCGAGTACATGTACCAATATTTTGCTTTTGGTACTCGCCGATACTGGTTCTTCTGCTGGTATGGAGGCGGCTTCCCGGGCAATCAGGAAGCCAGCTCCATGTTGATTGGCTGGCTCGATTGTGATTGGCCGGGAAGCCGGCTTCCCAGTCGATCAGCAAGGTGTGGGCTTCTCGGCCAATTAGGATGCCGGGAGGCAGGTCATTACTTGCCACCTGGCTACCTGTTTGCCCAGGAAGCTGGCTCCATGTTCCTCTATGGCACTGCTGGTTAGAGGAAATTTTCCTCTGACCGGAAGTTCCGTTATTGGAGGTAAGTATCGGAGCATTTTGGCGAGTACGAGAACTCGCCCAAATACTCGGTATCGCCACCGATACTAGTATCGGTGCATCCCTGGTGATAAGGCTTACTCACTGTATTGTATCTATGGAGCAGGGACGTGCGGTCAGGGGAGGCAGAGTCTCGCCTAGTATGGAGGATAAAGCTGACTGAAGCTGACAGCTTTTTCTCCATTCAGAGCAGCTTGTAACAGATTGCACAGCAGGGAAATCCTCCCCGATGTGTAACATGTCGTGGACGGAGCGCTGCCTGTTAATTACAGGGCGGTGCGGCACCCGGCTTTTGACAGCTAAGTTAGGTTACACAGCAGAAGGTTTCCCCACTGCCTGTGTAACCTAACCTAGTGAGGCAAGAGCTGAAACCTCCTCTACTCTGTGTTGGAGGCGTGAGCTCTGTGGATGGCTTGGACCAATAGCAAAGCACCATTGGTCCAAGCTGTCCAATCCACAAAAAACATGGAGGACAGGGAGACTCCTCCCTTCTCCCTTCCTCCTCCACACATAGCTTGGTGATCGGGTTGGGGGTGGGGCTTCGGCGTGCTGGGGGTGGGGAATGCCTCACCCAGCATGGAAGGTACCCAACGCCACTGATGGAGGAACAACTTGTGCTTATCGAACAGATATAACATGACGCTTTTAAAAGTGAATTTAAGGTCCATCACACACGGTACAATTTCAACGCTACAATCAACTTTGGAGTTCCCAAGACCATATAATAGGAGGACCTACCTTTTATATATTCAGTTACATCCAGACAGGCCATTGCACTACACAGGTATTGGCAGATCTAATAGAAATTGTACAATCAGATGGTAACGCGAGTGGTGAGCTCTCGGTGTATCTAAACCCAGAAATGTACTAGGAATTTGCAAATGAATTAGCTTCATTTTTCTCCTTACATTCTGCTTTTGTTTTGCACAACGCTACAAAATCAATGGAGAAAGTAAATTAAAATTGGGCACAAAAGTTCAGGCATGAATGCATAAAAAAATAGGTGGGGGTTGGGGGAATAGATTAGGACTGTTGAATAAGAACAGCTTAAAAAAAGTTTTATGCAGTTGCTTTAATGGACATAATGTGCAGATCTAAGAACGCCCTTTTGATCTGCACATAGAAGTCATAGAAGTCTACGTGTGTTGTAACAATGTTAAAGGAGAACTATGGGGAAAAGCCTTAACCCCATAGTTCTCTGTTAATGTTGCAATGTATTTCTCAATGATACCTGCAAATACTGTTTTGTAGGAATCCTTTACAAAGAACTGTTGTACAGCTGAGTGGTGCCAGTAGAACCACCCACAGCCTAAATTTCAGCAAATTCGACAAGGATCCCTCTATGAATCAGCTGGTCCCCTGAGCACTGGCCCTGATTTCCTGTTTTAGGGTGGCTCCTATAGAGCCACCTTCGTGTGTGCTAGTAAGCTGTGTGTGTCTCCACAAGACACTGCCCAGCTACCTCTCCTCCTTCCTTCCTCCCTCCTCCTAAGCTAGTAGATGGACTGCTACTGCAGTCTGGTTTGTCCTTGTGATCTTGTACTGGACAGGAAGTTCAGGGTAGCCGAGCTGAGAGAGTTGGAGCTGTTTGAAAACATGATGACTAAGTGTGGGCAAAAATGAAAAGAAATTCTTTGCAGGGCGATTTGTATATTTGATCTGGATTCATTATTGAAAAAAATGTGAGTTTAATACTACTGCAAGACTGTGCAGTCCTATTTAGTCCAACTGCTATAACAGTAAAGTAGAGGTGAAACTATGGAAATAGGGGGGGGGGCATTATCTGACCGAATAGTTCTGTGACCTCAAGTGGGCTTTAAAGCTGAACACCAGCAAAGTTTAAAGTGGACCTTCTATGAAGCAAGCTCAATATTTAAATCGCCTGCAAAGGTGATTTCATAAAGAAAAAAAGCTGTTGCCAAAAAAAAAAGAGAATGAATGAAATGACAGATTTTTTTTTTCTAGCTATTGCTGAAGTCGTATTTACTGTATAAATTCTTTTATTTTCTGAACTTTGCAGCCCTCGAGCTCCGTGGAAACATTCTTTGATTCCCTGGTAAAGCAGGCAGCTATCCCAGACATTTTCTCCATGCAGATGTGTGGGGCCGGCCTGCCCACGACTGGGGCCGGAATCAATGGCGGCAGTCTTGTAAGTACATCCAGAAG